GGGGTCTGTTGCTGAGATAATTATAACTATAAATAACAACCAAATAATTAAAAACATATATATCTATATATCTATATATATATGTATATATATGTATATATATATATGTGTATATATATATATCTTTAAAAACTATACAAAAGCACGCGCATATAGGCGTACATCTGCACACAAACACATTCACACAAGCATGTCACAAAGGCTTATGCGCATATTCACATCTCGCAGCGGATTGCATCTTCTGGATAAAGGTCGGGGAGCGGTGTTACTTTCATCATCCCCAGTCTCCTGTTCACGCTGCTGCTTCTTGAGAATCTCATGCAGCCTGGAGCTTCAGGACCCGTGCTGCATCTTGCACCAACATGCTTTGACAGCACTCACGGGTCAAAGCTCTGAATGTGGAATTGCGGCGGCGCTAACAGCTACAACATAACCCAGAATCTTGGCACGTTCAGCCGCAAAGCTACCTTGGCTAGTGCACGTGATGCCGATGTCCCTCTAGGATCCTGGCTGGGAGTGTTCTTCGATCTGGGCGTCCTTTTCGTCAGGCGTGCTGGGGTCGAACATGGAAACGTGAAAGTTTGTTGACTTTCACATGGAAATGTCGAAGTTTGCAGAGTTTCAGCTGCCGGCCACTCTACGCCTCACGACTTTAATTCACTGCCAAGCTTAAATGTCAATAGGACGCCTGCTCGGGCTCACATTGCCAATGTTGCTTGCCAGCAACAGTACAGAACAAACTCTCCAGGCACCTCGTTCGTAGGCTTCGCCTTCGTCGAACCAACAAGCTTTTCAAAACCTGCGCCACGAGACAGCACGCTTCCGATTGAAAGCTGTACTCTTGCCTGCCAAGCTTTTACTTGCTTCTACTTTCACCGCCACTTGATGTCATTTGCTGGTGCCTGGTGTGCGTCGTAGCCTCAAACCAGAGCTTGCGCGGTGAACGGCTTGGCGGTTTCAGTCCCTCACTGTCAGCAGTCCTCCGGGGCTTTGCCTGAGGCATCGCCCACGGATAATGAGAACTGGGGGCCCTGCATAGCGATCCCATGGGCAAACCTGCGAATCGACACTTAGAGCTCATATAGCCCGTGCAGTTGCTCAGGCTTGGATGCTCCACGAAGTCCTCAAAGATCCTTGTTGCCCAAAACTACTTGGATCTGAAGTGGCAACTTCACAATGCAACCTTGCGCCGTCATAAAGTGCTATGCTGCAGCGACAGAAAAGAAATCCAAAGCTGTGAGTAGCAAAAATTTCCTCCAACGCAACAGTTAGTTCTTTCGCCAACTGCAAAAATGTCAGCAACCTAGCAGACCCTGCAAGCTGGCCTGCACGTCTCAGCAGACTCGGGGCAACAACCCTCCATGAAAGCCTTGCAAAGGGACGTCCTGCACAAAAGGAAACTCGCTGGCATGTCTACATGTGAACCGGCGATTTGTGTCCTCCGCAAGTCAGGTGCTTGGGCTAACTCCTCCGGCCCATGGGCAAACCTGAAGAATCGCCAAGGCACTTTCTGAGCTCTACAGTACAGGCAGCAAGTTCAATCAGCGAAGATTCGGCGACTTTGCTGCTTGTTGGTTCAGGACATAAAATAACATGTCACAGCAACAGGCGAAGCAGTCCTTTAGAATCTGTACACAGACCTGTGATATAAAACCTGTCATGGTCGGGAGACACAGTCTGTCCCAGGTTTCTGGGATTCCTCCTGCCCTCACGGCAATCCTTCACTATGACTGCCGTCCTTTCTGTGAGCCGTGGAGCACCGAGATCCCGGCTCGCAAAGGTCGCCTTTGCGACATGCAGCTCGCTGGAAGAAGCGGCACCTGGCTCTCGAGGTCACCGTTCGAAGCTCTGAAGGCGAGAGAAACTGTCCGTCCAGAACTTGGGCCAAGGCATTTGTGTCTTCTTGAACTGCTGACCTGGATCATGACTGATGCGAAATGTGAGGAGTCTCGAGATGAAGGCAATCTATGCAAACCCAGCGAACCCGCGAGGCAGCAAGTTCCGAATCCGGCCGTCATGGCACTTCTGGTGCACCCCACGTGCTACTCTTTAACACAGTGAAGTCTTTGGCAGTGGCAGCAAACAAAGCTGAGCAGCGAAATGCGGTCTTGTCCACAAGGTTGTCCTGTCTTGACGCACTCTGGTACAGCTAACGGCGCTAGCGAGGGAACTATCTGAGGGTGAATGTGCCCCAGCACCAACGTCCGCAGATCCGGCCACAGGAAGATCGTAAGGCAGGGCAAGATTGCAGAACATACTTATGCTGCGGTATGCAACATGGTGTGAGTCCTTCGGCTTCTCTCCACGAGCCTCATGTCATCCAGCACAACATGACCAGGCTTTCTGCAGCCATCGACGCGACTGCCGTTCAGACGCCACACGCAGCCCATGACTCTGGGGCTCGGACTTGGTGGTCGTTTGAAAATCCTGTGAGAGACTACTCAGTGACTACTCCAGAATGGATGTGTCGGGACGGATTCTGGCCGGATCCGAGCTGAGTCGACAGAGCGAGAGTAGCCATGTTGAAACCGATGCAAGTGATGCAATCAATCTCCCAGTACAAACAAACCCAAACTGCGATTGGTGTAGGGATGAGGAGCGACTGGGAAGCCTTCAGCCGCTTGCGCATAGCTGTTGTTGACATCCCTGGCACAGTCTCTGCGCGTGTCAATGAGACATGCTCCGGCCTCGCCAGACTAAACTCCAATCACCAACCTAGCCGGCCACGCCCGTACAAGTCCTGCTGCATGTAGCCTCCAAACTCGTGGGGCTGTGGGAAAGGCACCAGGGGGCCTGAGCCTTTGGTGCAGTCAAAACCCCAGGTCTGGAGCGTAGCCTTGGGACTGCAGTCCCATCCAGGGCGTAGGGACCTGGGCACGGCAGGGCCGTTCGGAATGGGTTAGGGGCACGGTGCATGCAGCACACGATTCGCTGTAGCTCGCCGACTTAAACAGCCATCTTTTAAATCGCCCATGTCATGCCCCGGCAATCTGAGTACCTTGTTCTGCGGCGGGTCCTTAACTGACCTTCACCGATTTGCTCAGTGCCATATCTGACACTAAATGCTCACAACCTCCTCTGCATCTGTCGGCTTTGCCAAGATGCAGGGAATCCATCCCACACACTTCCCGGAAAATGCCGCCACCGCAGGCACCCCCTTCAGGGATGCGAGGGCGCAGCAAGTGGCAAAAGCTGTCCAACAAAGAGTTGGCCAAATGCCGGAATGAACGGCCATTTGCGATATTCCACCTCCGAACGTCCAGCAGAAAATCGATAGCAACACGATCAGTATTGACTGACCAAAGTCCGCAAGTCTCCGGTACTTCACGCATGCAAACTTCGGCGTTGCGAATCGAAAGCACATGTAGTGGAAGACGTCGAGGCAGAACACAGACCAAGCCACATCAAATCCGAGCAGTAAGCCGATCACACTGCGTGCCAAGACAGGCATGGGCGCCCCGCCCTTCATTAAGGCCACCAATAACTCCAGGGTGAGGCTCATGCCCACAGGCAAGAGGATCATGTAGTGGCCGAGAGGGATGTCCCGCAACCTTGGTTGGAGCGAATAGACAGGACATCACAGTTGGTGGGTGACGCTTAACGACAGAATCCTTCCTTCTGCCACTTCCAACGAGAGGCGATACGGAAGTCAATAGTTCCTCACGCAGCGGTCCACGGACGTATTGGGTGAAGGCCTCCTCGCTTTCGTACCAATCCTGGATGGCCGTGTAGATGAACCTTCCTGAGAGCCCCTAGAGAATTGCTTCAGGTTTACATTAGGTATTGGATCGATCTCAACAAACAACTTTAAAGTTTCAACACATTGACACGGACAGCATCCAAAGCTGGCGAACAAACGGTCGCCAGTCTGCGGCTGCAGCTGCCAACCCCATGTTTCAGCAGCTATGCACTGCTTCCTCTCCTACGAAAGAGGTTGATCTGGGAGTTTCCGAAAATAAGGGGTACCTTATTTTGGGGTCCTTATAATAAGGATTCTACTATTTAGGGTACTATATTTGGGTCCCCTATTTTCTGAAACCCCCATCTAATGCCATGGCTCGATCAAACTCCAAAGCACAGCCTGCGGACGCTAAGTCGAAGTACTGCAAGTCGTCTAACAGCTTCTGGCCCTCCCGAATGGTTTGACACAATACATGCGTGCCAAGAATTACAGGGAGGAGTGACGCGGCATAGCCAATCATGATCGACTTCTGGCCGGCTTGTAAGGCAGCAAGCGCCCAGAAAAGTGCTGTCATCCAGCAGCATAGAACAAATATCGCAAGGAGAGCTCGCTCTCGAAAAAGGGGCGTCCAACAAATCTTTCCATCGGGATTGGCTTGGCGGTATGCTGCTAGCTCGAAAACACACCAGAGCCGTGACCTTAGCAGTCTTTTTTTTTCGGCCATGCTCATTGTCCCTGCGGCGTGCAGTATTCAGATGCGAAGTGGTGTGTTGGTGCAAAAGGAACCAAGCAAAAGTACAAGCGTAAAGACGGCTGGAGGGGCATCATTTACCTCAATAGGCGTACCACCTCAAATTAAATCGTTTATGGCGTCTGGGTCTGGGTGCCTCTGGCAGGACAGGGCTGCGAGGCTGCACCCGGTATTGCTGGTGTCCGGGCCAGGTTTAGACATCATGTGAGTTCTCATAGAGAGTGTGAGCCATCTGGGTGTCTGCCATTGCGTGATGTAGTCCCTGATGTGGCTTTCATGCTGTGTTTAGCTGTAAGACGCTTCTGATCGCTTCTGGCAGGTGGGCATGAGCATCTGACACAAGGGCACGCAGGATTACGTACCTGGTAGGGCTAGCATCACCACGATGACGACAATGGCGACAAAGATTTCTCCCGCATCATCTGTTCTCGTTCTCCTGAATAACTGGACAATCAACAAGGTACTCATGATCTGAATGCCTTTGGTGAGCGCTCCTGACATGTATCGTGAGCGCGGTATAGATTCCGCAGGTCAGCTCTCTGTTTCCACTGCATGCCTCCCTAAGTCTTGGAAGTCAGGCAGGGTCGCCTAACGGGCCACGATCTTTCCCCATCCTCACGCATGCCGTTCCTTGTGTCTTGCACATGTCGGGCATATTTAAGTTTAATTCCAGTATACGCTGTTCTTCACATGCTTTCTTATTGCAGCTGTTGTTATTGTCGTTACTGCTATTTCCTATCATTGTTATTCAATGCTGCTGTGATTGTCTGTGCTGTTCTTCCTTTTCCTTCCGTGGGGGGGCGGCAGGGGGGGATGATGACGTCCATTGCAATGCGGATGATATCTGTGCTGCTTGTCCTTTTGCTTCCGTGTGGGGGTGGGGATGGGGTGTGCGCGCTCCTCATAATGATTGATTTGCAAAACCTTCTTGCGGCGGCCGCGTCAGATTGATGACGCTGGGATGACGAAGATGCCGTGATCTTCACTGTGCCGATGATGCGATGACATGACGAATGCTGTGTGCGCACCCCTTTTGGGATGATGACGCTGCCAATGATCCCACGATGATGAGTGCTGTTGGTTTGGAGAGGTCGTCTTTCGCAAACCCCTGCTTGACATCATACACACAGGCCACAAAGCCCTGAAAGCCTCAAAACCGACGACAATGACACTGCTTCTCCGTGTTGCTGCTGTTTTCATATTATTTGCGGGACGGTCCGACTACAAGAGCCTTTAAACAACGGACCCAGGCTGAAGCAAGAGAAACGACGAAAACCACGGGATTTATGACGCATCCGCAATCACAGACTAAACAGAGAAACAGAAACCATGCAAGACAAAATCAGCAACAACCTTCGGGACTTCACGAGAACCTCGAAAGCTCTAATTTTTACAGTTGTAGGAAAAACGAACGACACACCCTTCGCCACCTCGGTAGCCTGGTTGCTGTTGTTGGCCGCTGCTGCTGCCAATGCCGTTGCCCGCCGTTGTTGCTGCCGTTGCGGATGTGGCTGAGGTCGTTGCTGTTGCTGTTGTTGTTGGCGTTGTTGGTGCTGCTGTTACTGCCGTTGTTGGTGTCGTGGTTGCGGTTGTGGCTGTCGTTGATATTGTCGTGGTTGTGGTTGTCGAACATGTTGTTGTCTTTGTGGTTTTGGCTGAGGTTGAGGTTGTGGTTCTTGTTGTTGTTGTTGCCGCTGCTATTGTTGCTGTTGTTGCTGCTGTTGCTGTTGTTGTTGCTGTTGTTGTTGCTGTTGCTGTTGTTGTTGCTGTGGTTTTTGCTGTCGTGTGTTGCTGTCGTTGTCGTTATTGCTGTTGGTGGGTGGTTGTTGGTTGTTGGTTGTTGGTTATCGGTTGTCGGTTGTCTGTTGTGTGTTGTGTCTTGCTTATTGTGTGTTGCTTGTCGGCGCTTTTGCTGTTGTTGTTGTTGTTGTTGCTGCTCCTGCTGCTGGCGGTGGTGGTGGTGCTGCTGCTGGTGTTGCTGTTGTTGCTGCTTGTGGTCGTGCTTATGTTTGTGGTTGTGGTGGTGGTTGTGTTGTTGCTGTCGTTTCTTTCTCATTGTTCGTCGCTGTTGTTGTGGTGGCTGTTGCTGTCGTCGTCGTTGCCGATGTCGTCGCTCTTGTTATTCGTGATCCTGTCTTCTTATTCCTCTTCCTGCTGCTGCCGCAACTGCTGCTGCTGCCGCTCCTGTCGTTGCTGCGGCTGCAGCAGCCATCGTTATCGCGCATATTTGTTCTTATCTCTGCAAGTGCATGAATGACCGATATTTTTGCTGTTGTCGCTGTTGTTGTGGTTGTTGCTGTGGGTGACCATGACTGATGACTCTTTGTGTGATTCAGAGACGTCCTTACGACCTCTCATCAGATGTAACTGAGGCCTCCACAAATAGGGCGAGCTCCAGAGCACTTGCAGTTGCCGAGACCTCCTCAGACATCCACCCAAGCCGTAAACTCCCCGCTCCATGAGTCTCGCATCCGTTTGGTGGATGCTAAACATGTCAAAAAACATCGTTTCCTGGTAGGTAGGCACATACGGGGAGATAACCAGGCCCAAAACCAAAGCAATAATACCGACAAATTGAACCCAGGGCCCAAAGGGGCACACTTCCTCAAACTCGTGGAACCTTGCTTGGTATGTCCAGGGCATCGGCAGAACATCAGTCATGCAGAGTACCATGATCACCACTACTGCCACTGCCCAAAAGGCCAGCATTAGTTGCCATCCTTTCTGAATCATGAGGGAGAAGACCTTCCACTTCCCCGGCGTCAACCATGTGTGAGAGAAAAAGGTGTCGAACCCATCGACAGGCGTAGAATACTTCCAGAGTTGTGCCCGCTCGTTCTCACTCAGTTCCGATGGCGGGCGCCGCCACGCCCTCCCGCAATGCCACAATGTCCTGCGGAGGTCAGCCCCGCGCATGATGTCCTCGTCAATCTCCAGGTGCTTCAGCTTCATGAGCCTGCTCATTCTGCCAGGAGCTGGTTGTCGTTGAACATTAAAGGACGAGGATGTACCAAGCCGGCCCATCTGCGGATACTCGGAAGAGTCTTGAGGTGATATGGAGCCATCGCAAACCTCGATGGGTGTGCTCGCTGCCACCACCTCCGGGGCCGGAGCTTTGACGCTGTCGTCGCAGCATGGTCTATTGCCCATGAAGCGATGCAAAAAATGCGACTATGAAACAGGCATTGCAAGAAAGGCCTGAAGCCAAAGGACAAGGTGTGTCGGCATTCGTCTAAAGTGTGGTCCTGGAAGTTTCGAGGACTTGACAGAAGGTAGCAATCCTATGCCTGTCCAACGAGCTGGCTGCAAATCACAACTCCACTCCCTCCATTTCCCGATCTCCCGACTAGCAAGGCTACGACAGCTTCCAAACCCGAGGTGTCGAGTCGTCCTGTCAGGCAGCGATCGGTCCAGTCACGCTTCAAGCTTGTGACAGGGTTTTGCGTAGCCAAGAAATGCTATGAGCGAAACCAGCATGTACACGAGCAGCACATAAGGCATGTTGCAGTATACCTCGGCAAAAAAACCCTCTAACATTTGTACCAACAAAACCAAGTACAAAAGCATGAGCAAGGCAAGCTTAATGCCGCTTGAAGGGTTTTGGCTCCACCAAGTCTGGTGCTCGTGAACTCAATTGTGTTTTAAAGGTGCATCCTTGAAAGGGAGCACCCTGATGCTTCCATTCACAAGGCATCTGCTGCTTCACAACTGGATATCTCTATGTTAGATATTGAAAGCCGGACGACCGGCCGTGCGTTCACCCGATTATGTGCCGGATAGTACAACCCGAGCAGCCTGGGTTGTAGGCTGCGGTACACATTCTGCAGAGTTACAGGGGAATATGGATGAGAACCCACAGAACTCCTCAATGTCTTATGACGGACAGTGTAGGAGTAACGCCAACTTTCAGCAATACACCAGGAGTGCTTTCAGACTTCGAGTGTTCCAAGTTTCCGCAGGGTTCAGTTACGGATCGTGGAGAAGCAGCCCAAAACGCTCCGCATAGTACACAGCGCAGTGCACAACGCCTTGCTGGAGCATCCATGGCACAGCGGTCTGGCGTTGAGACGCATCCCCCCTGGCAGTGCTTCAGGTCCGGGCTCGGAAGGAGTTGGACAAGAAGGATTAGGACTTGGACGCTGCGAAAAATCCGGTACTGTCATGCGGCCAGGTCGTGTCATGCAAGACTTGCTCCCACCTGACCACATCCTCACCTTGCGGTCACGCTTTCAATGCGGAAGCTCGGAACATGGTACGTGCGCCCAGCAGCATGTAGCAGCAACACCCGGCAAACCCCTGACGTGACGGGAAAGTTTCCGGCTAGCTGCTGGAGTTGAGGTCCTGGCCGTAAATAGCACGAACGGCGGCCATAGCTGCGCCTTTGCTGGACAACAAGGAGTCGACGCGGAGACAAACCTAACTCCGATTTCACACCGGATTGAATCGATGTCGGTAGATGTCGGTAGCATCAACCACATGAACTTCATATTTTCAAGATCGTTTGCACAAAATATGTCTTATGTAAGTGGTAGCAAAAACCCCAGTAAAATCGACGCAACTACCATTTCGTGAATCCATCTCCAAACTGAATGCCGAGCTGCTGGGTCCCTGTGGCTAGTCGACGCTTCACTTAAAAGGCTTTTGAAAATCTGTCGAAACGGCTGCAGAACAGACTCCTGCCCTCACCTATAACATCGCTGTGGGCCAGGAACGCCAGCTGTTAAGGCACGGCAGCCTGCAACTACGGTTCAGGTCTTTAAGTCAAGAGCCCAAACGTCCTTGGGAAGTTTGGCTCAAATCCCCTTCAAGGCCGGTGATGCAATGTGCCCATTCTCTTCTCCGCGCGCAGGTCCCGCCAAACTTCGTGTCTCGGAACTGGGCCCTGTGGGCCCTGGGCGCTCAATGCCTCTGCCGCCAGCGCCACGGTTCAGGCTTCGGCCCTTGGGGGACTTGATGGCACGACTGAAGATAAAGCGGTGGTGCCGACCGAGCACGGCTACGTACAGAGAGTGTAAAGCTTTTCAGAAAAGTGCATCAGCTGTCAACAACGTTCAACAACTGGCATCTTTAGCCCTGGCATGCTTTAACAGCAGCCAAGTTCTGGAGAGAGCTGAGACCTTCCTATTCGTAAAGAACCTTTACGTCGCAGAAGCGGAAACCCACGTCCATTGAGCATGTAAGCCACGGGATCCACCGGCCGCAGGCAAGAATGACTTCAGGAAGCCCTAAAACATCGACGACGGATCCTGGTGACCACAATCCACAAGAGAGGAAGGCACAAGAGCCTAATAGAACACTGGCTTGCTTTGGCTCCTGGCTTTTCTGCCTGCTCCTCCTCGCCCGAAACCGCCTTCAACCTGAAATCGTTTCATGCAGGTTACATGCCTGACATGTTCTGTCTTATGCTGACCGCCGTCTACACAAAAATGTGAGGCCTCGGTGGCCAGGCCTGCCCTCCCCGCCAGCAACTTCTCCGTCCCCGGCCCGAAGCCCCACTGCTTCCCGTTTCTTCCTCCGTTTCGGAATAGAGCTGCGCTAGGAGGCTCTCTTGGCAGTCTCTCGGATGGATTGGGCCGGGCTGACGGCTTCTGGAAAACTCCCCTTTGCAGTCTCCCTCCAAGCTTCCCACGCGAGGGATTCAATCCGTTCGAGGGTTCATGACTTGTCTCTTGGAGCCTTCCATGGCAGATGAGAAGAGCACACACGCACACACACGTGTTGGCATGCCTTGCATTTCGTTTACACCACCGTGACACAAAGCGAAAAGCGGTTCGGTCGGGACTTGATCACAACAAGCGTCTGCACTGGCTGACGTGCTCAACTGAGTGCCGTGCCCGAAAAGGGCAAGAAGGAAGCCGAGTCCTATGACAACCTCGAGGGGTCAGCAGCAACTGCAACTGAAAACTCTTCTGCCGAGCTCCATGCATCTAAGTCTTCTACAATGCAATTAGAGCCGAATGAGCAAGCCATGCAGGACACCCAAAGATTCGGGAGCTGAGACATGTGGAAGTATGAAATTGAAACGAATTTACTGAATGAAGGGTACCCATCGCTGGGGGCTGGCATTTCTTATCCAGCAGATGCACTGTACCACATTCAGAACTGTGCATAGACATTTCTGTGAGTCTGTCCGCACAGAGGCTCCGGCAAAGAAGAACACTAGAATGAAGTAATCTGCTTGTAGACCTGCACAGCAGCTTGCACCGACAGCCTGGAGAAGCAAACTGCCAGCTCTGCCTTGAGAAATTAAAATCGCGGAGCCGCCAGCGACGACGCTTCCGACCTGAGACTATGGAACACAGGGCATCCTTTGACAAGGCCGGGCCATTTTCCTCCAGATTTCCTATGTCCAATAGACATGCTGACATGCTGCTGTGTACGCGGCGCCTTATCCAGGGAAGAGCTGCTGCAAAGCCCGATAGCGCTATGTGCCGGAGCATCGACCCAAGCACTGAGTGCAGCACCACCGCAACGATGCTGTTGAACTCAATCCAAAAGCAAATGCTGCAAAACCGGAGAAACTTTGAATGCGATGTCGCGACTGTTGCAGGCGTGATACCGGATTCCGACCCGAGGCAACACCACTAAGATGCAAGCAATTGTGTCTTGGCTTGGCTCATAGAAGGCCTCGCGATGGTTTCGGGAGCAAGAAACAATACTTCCGGCCTTAACTGGATGCGTGCTTAGTGCGTGAATACTTCCCTGTCGCTGGGAAACGGCTCATGAAAATACGTCAACAGAGAGATTGGACCAGCCGGGGTTTCCGGTGTGCAACGACACACGTTGCAATGTCTTGTCTTGCTTGATGTTTCCATGCTCACGTTACCAGGCATGCTTCAACCAAGCAGTTCGTTTGGAGGCCTTGTGTTCAAGAAACATACCGAGTCCCATCCACGGTCGGACTTGCCGCTACGAGTTTCTCAGCAAACGGCTTCATCGTGCTGAAAGCAATGTATGTTGATATACACATTTTGGCACAAGCCCAGAAGAGCTGGTTACACAAGTCTTCGGCTACGTGGCGTTCTTGCAACTAAGCTGTTGTAGCGAACTCTCATGAACTACTTAGCAGATGGCTGAAGGTGGCTCCAGCGCGTAGCATGAACTCCTACCAAGAATAATGCTGTTGCCACCGGCAAAGTCCACGACAACAGAAGCAGCAATACCGTCGTCAGCAGCAGCAGCAGCAACGGCAAAAGTACCGACAACGAACCCGAACATGCACAGTATCACCCAACACCAGCAACAATGCAACAACAGCAGCAACAGCATGGCACAGTAAATCACATGTCAGGTCTATGATTCTGCAAGTATCTTCTTGTGACACCGTCATATTGCTGCAGTACTGCTGTCGTTTTTGTACTGGATAAAAAACCATGTTATATACGATGTCAGAACCTAATGTTGGCTTTGTGTTTGGTGCTGCAGTCCTCCAGTGGCCGCCATTCCGCGATCTCCGCCTTGCCTCACAACCCGGTGGAAAGTCATACTACATATACTACATACAATGTCGTGTAACACGCATACAGATTTTTGCGCGGAGCGTGGACATCTGCGTCTGTCAACTATGGGCGCACATGTACGATGAGGTAGACATGTGCATACACACGCCTACATCAACTCCTCATCCTGGCCTGACCGCCTGGTAACTGCAATGTTGACAACACAGACAAGTTCCACATCATAACTTTTGCTCTGAAGTCTGCCGAGAAGATTTTGGCGTCGGTTTCAAGGGAGTCTCGAACATATAGCGTATGAAAGTGCAGCTGATTCAGCGCTTGTCGGAAGCCGCCCACGAGCGTCTGAAGACTTGTGAACGGAAGGGTGAACCTACGGAGGAAGTAACAAAGACTTAACAAAGGTTCAGCGACTCAAGGTGACAGCAGCTGCTTTTTCAACATCATCTAGCATGGCACTTTCGTGTCATGCTATATAATTGTGTTGCAGGGCCCTCGCTGGCTTCAGCTTCGGTCTTCTGGACCTCTGCCTCCTCCTCCTGAAGGCAGGAGTGAGCCCGGTTTGCGGTCTTGGATTCGTGATGAAAGCACCGAGTCTGATCCGTCTCGCTCGGTCCTCTTTAGCCTCCAACTCCTCCGAGGGTGTCTTCACCTGCAGGTTCAGAAGTCCCAGTGCTTGCCAGAAGTTTCCTCCGCCTGGAAGCCTTGCAGACTGGCCACCAGAAGCGATTGTCCGGCCTCTGTGCTGGGCTTCACCTCTTCCTGGCGTGGCTAACCAATGCAAGGGTCTCATGTTGTCTTCCCTGCTCGTGTGCTGTGACCCCTTGGTTGAAATTGGCCGCAATGCGATGCTGCCTGCGCAGCAGAGGTGCTCAGCACGGCAACGCCGGAGTATCCTTGCAGGTTTTTCTTTCAGATCGTTCCAGCTACTCCCACTCGTGTCCCTGGTGAGCTGGTCGAGGCAATGGCCGGGGCTGCGTCTCCACGGTCGTGTGGTGGCCTGCAGACTTCAAATCTACTCCGAGACGAGTTGCAAATCATCAAAGTGGTTAGAGGTCGGAAAGCGACCTTTGCATTTTGCTAGTTTTACGACCAGACATCAGCTGTCTTATGGTCTGCTAACGGTGCAAGAAGCTGACATTATCAATGAGGAAAAGGTAATCAAAACGCAAACTTTTCACCTGTCGAAAATCGTGTTTTCCTTCCCACCTAGTTCTACACAGTCATTCTAGGTTGTGTTCTTGGGCATGCTTGTGGTTTAATTCTAAAGCGAACTGACACTTGAATAATTAAGCTCTGTGCTTTTTGTTGTTTACTAAACAAGGCGCACCAGAGACGAACAATCTAAATATCAGGTTTGCTGTGCTTCAAAGTGATAGTCTCATAAATTGGGTGGAGAATTGTGAATCAACAATCCAATATAAGACGTCCTGTGCTTGACAGCCGTCATGTCGTAGAGGAAGTGGATAATGATGGAGTATCTGTTCATCCTGTACCACCTCCAAATCATAAAATTATGGAAAAGGTTAGGAAAATAAATGAAAGTAAAAGAGAGATGCCACTTCTTGAGACCCTTGAAACAAAGGCACTAACAACGATTTCTGAATCTTCCAAACAAGCTAGGCATCATTAAAAACAGATCGTAGGAAGGAATGCAATGCAATGCTTGATGTTAGACAACGTATTGGTCCTTTGCAGACACAGTCCTATTTCATGGTGAATATACTTCCATTGCTTTAAGGACTGATATCACTGTTCCGGAGATTTCGAAGATCACTGCTTTGGATCATTTCATTGAGCTTGTTCGTCAATCGTAGCCTTGCACCAAAAGGCCCAATACGTATACTTGTACATTTTGGGTTTCTGTCTTCAGGTCGTTCATTTTCTTCACACCACAGTAATAGAAGTAGATAGTAAAGCTTGGCTCCTTGCTTCTTTCACTTAGTGAAGTCATGATTGCACTTCGTTTCCTCTCCGCTCCTGGTTCAACACAGCATAATAACATTGTTCCTGGTTTCGTTCGCTCGTTCGGCTTGTTGTTCGTTTCTCTACTTTGCAAACCAATGTCTTCAATGGCGATAAAGGCTTACAAAATCCTGGCAGTGCTAGTATTAGCACTCGCCGGCGGCCTTACTCCGCGCGACTGCCGAAAACCTCAAAAGCCAGGGGGAAATCCAAACCAAAGAAACCACAACAAAAATAAGCACAAACAGAAACCCAAAGGACATCCAACAGCAGAGAAAACAAAATTTTCAACAACACCAAAGAAACCAACACCAGAATAAACACAAATCCCGGAGCAAACCCAAAGATCAAAACACCAAAGACACCAAAACCAACAAAAACAGATCCTGGGCCATTGGTTTTGGATTTGAGAGTACGTGTTGTTGGTTCCTTCATTTTTGCTTTGGATCTCCTCGGGGACTTTGGTGTTTTTTCGTTGTGTTTTTGTTTTTTTGTTGGTGTCTCAGGGTTTTTTGGTTTTGGATCTCCTCCGGGATGCTGTTTTTGTTTGGTTCTGGTTTTGTTGTGTTTTGTTTTTGGTATTTCGGTGTTGTTTTGCTTGGCGGTTTCTTCTGTTTTTGGCGTGTTTCTAGGCTTGGATGGTTTGGGAATGGCCCGAGTCTGCTCGTAAAGCTAGCAAAACAGAGGGGCCGTTTTCCGACCCCAAACCCATCAAAGTTCACTTCGCTGCAAGTCAAGATTGGGTCTTTGCATAGGTAGATTTAGATCTGCTTTGCCTGATGCATCTTGTCTCGCCTCACGAACTCTGAAACCATGTCAATGTATCTGCGGGGAGTCTCAAACTTACTACTGGTAGCTTCATCCCGCTTCGCTGCGAGGTCTCGGCCTGGGGGGCCACAAATGTCAAGGCTCGCAATGAGAGAAGGAGCCTCGGCCAGGCGACGACTTATTGGCGAAAAGTTCCTGCATGTCAGTTCCGAGGACGTGGCAAGGCCAGCAGCAGGCCACCTCCGAAATCTTATGTGAAAGGAGCCAGAAACCCTAAACCCTAAACCCCTAAACCCTGAACCCTAAACCCCCTAAACCTAGGAAGAACCGTTCGCATACTTTCGCACAGCAAAAAGGGCTCTCTACGCCTTGCCCTCTTCGGCGCAGGCTGGGCCGCGCCATGGCTAGGCTGAGTTCGCTTTCTGCAAGGTATGAAGCTCTTAACACCTTTGATGAGCGAGATGTGCGTTGCTCTTCTGTTACCTCTCGCTACCCCTAAGCAGCTGTCTCAAAGAAGTAGAGACTGAGAGTCGAACATTCATAGGGCAAGGAGAAGTTGAGCTCTGGAAGGAGTGAGAGCAGACTCTGATCACACACGAAGACGCAAAAGCTGCAATGTGCAGCTCCGGTGAACTCAACACCTGCCGCAAGATTCCAATCTCCACCGGCTGTCATGACTCTTTGGGGCGGTCTTCGAGCGTCACTTTCACGCAACTGTTTTCGGGGCATCTCCTGCAGCGCTAGGAAGAGTTCGCACGAGTCATCAGCGAAGCCAACCGTGTGGCTTAAAGCTTGCTGAGAGCTTGCTCGGTCTTTGAGATTCACACGGAGCCGTTCGATTTGGACGTACTTTCGTTTTGCCGTATGATTCATCGCATAATTCGTGCTGGCTTCTCGGCTGTCTTGGCTCCCGGAATCTGCGAGCTGTCCGTGCACAGACAAGCAGTCTGTGAGTGCTCGGCAATCCAGGGCTGCTGCCCAGATAGCATGCTGCAGTAATTGCACTTTCCTGCCTGCATGATGCGGTCAGCCTGCAATCGTGCAGTGTCTGATTAGTTCTGCACCATCCGATTCCACTTCTCGGGGATCTACCTGCGCACACTGCAGCTCAATGTTGTAGAGGCTTGAATAGTTCGGGTTTGGAATTGTCATGCAAGGAGTGTGTTTTCGGGATTCGAGAACTTAACGATTGTCGGGTCTCCTTGTCCAAGATACCAGGGGCTGGCTGACTCATTGGGAAATATTGGGACGAGTGCAGAGGAACATATGCATTACGGGGATGTAAAGACCAGCGTACACAGACTTGGGGGGGGTTGCCTGCCAAACGTAGTAGGGCCTGTAGGGGGTCTGTAGGCGGGGTGACAACGCGGACAATTTACTCCTTTTCATGTGGACTGCAAAGGTCTTAGTCTCGGTTCTTGGCTCCTACCTCTACTACCTGAATCGAATGTGCAGAGCGCATGACAAGAACAGTTCCCTGTCATGCTGCGGCAACAAACCTGAGCTGTTACATTGGCATGTCTCAAGTTTCTGTACATCCTCACGGCGTCGTGCTCAAGTTGGTAGTGGACTGCCCACACTTCGACTTCGATCTCTGTCGGCTAAGGAGGCCCTGAACAAGCTCTCACTCTTGTTCCCCCGGGCTCAAAGCTCTGAATATCAAGTGCAAGGCCTCGACTTCTTTCCTGGGCCTCTGGGAGCCTTCACCTCAGGCAGGCAGTCTTTCTTCTTTCTTCTTTCTTGCTTCTTGTCGATAATGTCATCTAAGAAGGCTGCATCGGGGCAGGGACTCAGTAACAGTCTTGGCCTTGGCTCCTCTCGCCCGAGTCTGGTGCTGAGTGGAGGTACAAGATCACCGGATGTTGCGGGGACCTTGGCTTCACATCTGGCACCAATTTTCTTACGTGAAGCCGTGAAGCCTCAACATCTTCAGCCACGAATGGCTTCTCTTCTGTGATCCACGCTCTTCACCATGCTGCGCAAGAGCAAGATCAAGCGCCGTCTCCTGTGATGCAGAGTCGATGCATGCGCAGGCTCGTCCCCTGCCTGAACAGCCAAGGAAAGTCCGATGAAGCCACATCTCCCGGTGTTGCCAAACATTATCTGTGAAATGCAGCAAGCTCCTCTGTATTGTCGGTTGCAGCAATATCAGCACCCATGTCCACCAAGTATTCCACCTCGAGTCTCTGTCGTTCCGTCTGTCCGGTTCTCAGACAGCTGTGCGCAATGCAGCTTGGCTCTAGGTAACCTTGACATACAAGAAGATACACAGTGGTGCAACACAGCATAAGATTGAGGGAGAAAGATATGGACAAGACGCCCGTGACAACCGGAGCGCGTGACAAACAGCAGAAGAATTGCAGGTGCATGTCACTTCTCGCGTTACATCGCTCTACCAGTGGCAGCCTTTGATTTGCCAGGTAGAATGAGGCACTGCTCGAGGCCGACAGATGGTCACAACACTGAATTATCGGTGCATTGAGGTCGCGCACACACTCCAAGCTGCCACTGACTGCGGCGAACATCAATGGCGTCCTTGGGACCAAAGCGAGCATGGGCACTGCTGACCCTGGGGAATAGTTCCTGTCAACACCCGGTTCCTTCCATCCATGCACCTACCGAGACAGGATGTCGCCTCGAAACTGTCATGCTTGATCCCCCGAGCTCCAAAATCGATCTCACCGGTCGTGTCAAACAAAGGTCGCGGCTGCAAGTTGTGATCTTTGCAGCAAATGTCAATCTCTTCATCCTGAACAACGACAGTGGTAGTGTAGATCTTCCTGATGCGCGGTGTGTCTAGTGTTACAATTTCGTCCCCGGTTATCTGCGACGCTACGCTGTGCACCTGCAATCGTTCATCCGACAGGGTACAAGTACAAGTAGAAAATGTCCTCTAGCATATCCGCCAGCGCCACGACATCGCCGTCGTATGCTGCCTGGTACCTCCAAGACAAACTTAGGCTGAGACAGCGCGGCTTGAGTGCTGTGCTGGTTTGTGTAGACGATGCCAGAAACTGAAAGCCACACCAAGGCTTCAAACTAAGATAGAGCGTTCTGACTCCTGTGCATCCAAGACTGCTTCGCATGAGGAGATGGACACTCTGAGATTCTAGGCTTGCGACTTTGGGCTAAAATCCGTTCACCAAACACAACAGCTCTGTGCACAGCTTGCATCGATCTGAGTGGTTAAAACGCCTGCAAGCTGCAGCCGCAAGTCTTCTTAGGCTCTCAGGCTTCGTCGTAGATCTGTAATTTTTTAAGGCCCACACAAGGCAACCACGGACTCGGGCATGTTCGGCGCTTTGGGAAACCTGACTTCTTCGAGGACAGTTTTTACTAAAAGCTGCTGTGCCCGAAGCTTCAAGACTCGGAATTCCGCAAAATGCTATTTTGGGAAAGTCAACCGGGTTTCGACAAGGCAGCCGAATTCGAAGATTGGAAGCGCTGGGTGCTGCCAGCCCGGACTAAACAGGGGCCAAGAACTTGCGCTGCAGGCAGGCACTAACCCGTTTGCTGCAGCTCCGAAATCCCTGCTCGGGAAGAGATGTGCGCAAAGAGAACGAGAGAGAGAGAGAGAGATGAAGGGAGGCAAGCGTGAAGGCCCTCCCATCCGTTGCCTGCACGAGGCTTTGATCACCGACAGACCCCGCCTTCTTTGTGCTTCTAGCGATATCGTCGAAAAACCCAACGCATATGTGTTGGGCTGAGAGCAGGCACTTCGTCGCGCCACTTCCGAGGCCCTGTTGATCGCCTTCTGTGAGTTCTGTGCAGCATTGGCGACGCAACGTGTCGCTGGTACGAGGTTGGCTGCTTTCAGCTGCAAAGACCTCCGTCTTGTGCTCCCACTCACTCTCCACCAGTGTGAGTATTCCGAACTCTCAAGTGTAGCTAGCAAGGAACACTCACCGCTGTCTGGAGGAGTCACTGTATCGCGCTAGCAGGAACTGTAGCTCCAACACGGACAAAACGGCTGACAATCGAAGCTCATTCCCAGGCCAAGAGTTTGTTTGTGTTTGCTGTCGTTGTTTCTTTTGCTGTCCTTCCCGGGGCGGGTGTTTTTTCTTGCTGTCGCGCCGGAGGCCGGAGCTCGCTCACTCACCGGCTTCCTGAATTTGCGCACAAACAGCAAACAACACCCCCATTCCCAGGTTGATCCCGAGAGCTCCCAGGCGGCACATGTGGTTTGTCTCCGAGCGCTCGGCTTTCCCCGGGCGAGCTCCGCAGCCTCTGCGGCATCCTTATCATCACCGAGGCGAAGGTACACCTGAAGAAAAGCAAGGAACCGCCGTTCCGGTGAAACGACTTCTGTCGACTTCTCAAGTGCTATGTTAGTGTTCAGCCCTGCTGAGAATCCACAACTATTCAGCACGCGTCTGTTCACATTTGTGCCTCAGGCAACATCAAGGGAGCCTCACATAGACGTTTCCGCTCGTGGTCCCAGGCGTCAAAAGCCGCCAGCCACACCTCCGCTCTGCTCCGCTTCGGGGCAAAGCCGGGATCCTACGAGCTGACTTGAGAAGGCCTGCTATAGACAAAATGTGCTCTTGTCGCATTGCTGACTGCCACATGCTAGCCATGATCAGCATAGTGATCATCACACGAGATGGAAGGACACGACCTGGACTTTGCTTGCAGTATGTATTCATGATCGGTGCATTGTGTGCCAACACGAAGTCACAAAGTATCCCTGTGAATATCAACGCATTCTGCAACATAAACCAGACTGATGGACATCCGAAGAAGTGTGTGTAGCTTTGTCAAGGACTCATTGGGCGCCTCCCAAGCCTTTCGGCCCTGCGCCCACGAGGAGTCGAAGTCCACAGGATATTCCTGCAGCGAGCAAATGACCCTGTGCCTGGATGTGAGCTACCGCTGAGCGGTTTTGTGGCACTCGCTTTTTTGGCGCAGATGTTAACGGAAGCAGCTCCTCCCACAGCTTAATGGCATTGGCTCAGCGGTCCACATACTCTCCAGCTTCATGAAGAGCACGGCTACATATTCCGTGGGGCAGGACAGCAAGGATCTCAGCTCAGGCTGAGTAAACTGCTTCAAGACTCTTCCTGTCAAAGTCCGTGATCCTTTGGGCGGAGTGCCCAGGTCCCCTTCTGGCAAAAACGAAAGGCGCCGAGAGCTGGCTTCTCAAGGCTGGAGGTAGCTTGGGCTCTTCGGCTCCAGGAGCGCTCTTTTTGCGCACGAGCACTACATAAACAACCTACGGAGGCGAGGCCACTCGGCTAGAGTGAAGCAGGTGCTTTGCAGCAGTTGTGCTTCAGCCGACATCGCCTCAATGCCCAGAAAGCCGCCGCAAAATGAGCACAACGGACAAAAAACCTGATGAATCACCAAAAGCTTGATCAAACAGTCTAGCTGTGCTCCGTCAACAGAATTGAAGCTCATGCTGCGGCAGCTGGCTGCAGGATTGAATTGCAAGCGACGCTAGATGCGCTCGTGCCGCGATGTTCGCCCTGTGGTGAAACATACCGGACAATGCTGGGATGACTGCGATGTCTCAGATACAGTAGCCATCTCATGGAACTGAGCTACAAAGTTCCCAGCATGGCGTCTAGAGCACCGAAACTTCGCCAGTGCTTCGGCCGACCTCAGCTGGTGCCGAACACCGACACATCTCCGACACTTCCTTCTCAGCATCCGGCCATACCTGCAGCGACGTGCGAAAACCTGGCGACAAAGCATCAATCCGGAGACTTAAGAACGGGTTGCCCAACATGCTCAAGAAGGATCCATGCTCGCCGCACACGAGGCTGATATGACTGCTCCTCTAGTCCACTGTTCCGACACAGCTGGCCTGACACTGGACATGATCCGTATGCATGCGATCCAAAGCCTGGGCCGATCAGGAATTGGACGGGAATGGGGAAACCCTAACTTTAGCCCCTAGACCCCTAAACCGTTGCACGGATTGGAGCCCGGACGGAAGGGCACCGAAGACGAAGGACTGCACCAGGCCGCAAAGGGAGACCTCCAATTCGATGATCAACCACCTGGCAGGAGAACACCCAGGGTACCGGACTGAAGCTTTGGAGAGTGCATGGTGGGCACATAACAGCTTGCCAGCAGCACATCAACGGCAAGTTCCTCATCTTCCAGTGTTCATCCACATTGCCCTCCACACGGTCCTCACTGGCATGAGGCACGCAACAAAGAATGGCAGAGGTCAGGGAGGCCGCGGGATGTCAATGCAAAACATCTGCTTGGTGTCGTGTATGCCATCTCACTCTCTGCGAGATTAGGACACGATGTGTCGGGAGGTGCCCCGTGGTGCCCCCGTGCCTTCACCATATGAAAATAGATGGCTCCCAGACCGCCCGACAAGATGCTGGCGAACCTCAGCAGGGCGACATGTTCGGCGCCATCCCGCGGCCTCCGCGAAAAAAGCGCTGAGTCGACGAGCCGGCGCCGACGAGATGGCGGAGCCACGAGGCAAAAGCGGCAACAGCTGAACGTAGCTATTCGCCGCTCTTTCTCAGCACGCTTCTGCCCATGTGGCCACGGCTTTCGCACAGTACCAAGACATACGAATCCGCACGTCTGTGCGATTTCAATACTCCGAAACTAACATGCTGGAAAAGCATGAGGCTCCGGCGCCATCAGGGCCGTTCCACGTTGCTGCAGGAAGACAAGGAGACTATTCCTGGAAGGGGCTGTGTGGCATAGTTCTCGGAGCTTTTGGCAACCAGTTACTTGTACAAGCATATCGCCCAACTTGATGCTGGGCTTCCGCAGGGGGGCACCGTTAAGAATGCTTGAGACGCTCGTCTATTATCAGCCCAAAGCTTCTCAGTTGCTGCAAGCTAGCGCGCGGGAGTGCCACCCATACGCCATCGCCAACTCCAAACTGAGGCCGACACCGGAGTACTTGCTCCTGTGTTAGGTCCGCCGTACTCCAAGCGCCGAGGGGACACATCCTGGCAAGTGCAACGGACAAGCAGCACGAGCAATCACCGAGTGGTCCCAGCAGAATGAAGTCAATAGCGGCTTGACGCGCTTCAACCATGAAGCCCAAGGCCCCCCCCCAACTTCCTGAAGTTCTGTGCTTACATACCAACCGCAAACAAGTCTTACCGGTGCAAGATCATGTCATGCTTGCGTGGAATGCGAGAACTGTCATGCATTCTTCGGATCACCCCTGCATGAAGTCCTAGCATCTCGACTCTATTCCTTTGGCTTTGCCATCTTATCGGCTCAAGGTTTTGAGCTCAACACATCTCAAAGCTAAGCGCCGAGAGACTGGGGAGCGGCGAAGAGCTGCAGGTCACACCAGGACCTGTTTCAGCAAGCTTCCTCCCACACCTATCGTTTTCACTGCCATGCCCTCGAGGCCATCTGTCAAACCATGAGGCCTCTGAAAGTGCTCCGCAGGTTGCATGTTCTCATCTTCCACCCCATGCATCCACCCCACGAAGAACAAGCCATGAAGTCTCTCGACTAGATTGACATCTATGTCGTGGGCGGAAGCTGCGTGATGCTCGATCTTTTGCAGCTGGACAATCTCTCTGTGGAAGCAGATGGAACGATCCCTGCTTGCAGGATATTTGGCCGATGATCTTGAGGGCCGTTTTCTCTTTGGACATATGGGTACAATGTCGCAGGGCATGTGCAGTAACAACCCTGGCCCCGAAGCACTGACCTTGCAAAAGACTGTGCAATCTAAGGAAGACTTAGGATACCATGTTGTGCAACCTGGTTCGAACTCTAACTCCACTGATCTCTGCTAGACTCTAGAAGCTACCAGGACTCCAGGCACGGAGCGAGGGCGCACCCGAACATGTAGAAGTGGATGACAATCTGCGCCATGACATTCCAGACGGCCGCGACACCATTCACGAAGTGTGTCTGTCCGGAAGGCACACTTGAGATCATGCAGTGTGGTTGGCTTCGCTTTACAGTAGCTCTTTGATGCTTCAGCAGCTTCGGTACCTTTCCGGCAAACTAGCAAGAGCGCATTGCAGTGCTAGCGGCCCAAGCGCAGGCCACAGCTTGCATCACTTGGAGGCTCCAGCCACTGCGCCTTCTGAAGCCTGCATTACAGTATATTGTTCCGAACCAGACGCTGCACATACCCACGATGTGGGGAAGAAGAGCATATACAAATCACGTGGCTGTCTCCAAGCCCTGCGACCACGCTCCCCGCGTGGGGCATGTTTGCCGCAGCCCTGCTAAGCGACCCCTTCGCAGGACTTGTGGATCCGGCCGGTTTGAGCTTTCGAGAGCCGTCTTCATCTCAGCTCCGTTTGCTGCCAACGACCGGACCTTCTTGGAGAACTAGAGGCCTTTTAAGAATAGAGCATCGTCCACCATATACACTTACACAAGTTGTCCTGGCCCTGGCCGCCAGGCCCTGAACACGCATCTCGTGAGCCTGGGCAAACTTGGCCAACAGTGGCAGCAATCGCCACAGGAAGACCAAAGCCTGCCTGGCATTTCTGGGAGATACATGTGACACCGAATCTCCATCGGCCAGCCACTGAGAAGTGTAACAACAGGAGTCATAGAGTTTATGACGGCCAGACATGTCAGAGTAGCGAGAACTTCCAGGCCTGCAGGATCGAAGCTCCAGCACTGCTAGGAAGGAGAATGACAGCACCTCAGATCCGTGACAGCCCGTGTCTTCGCAGGTATGCGTAGGGACCCCACTGACGACTGAGACATCTCACTTCTGCACTAGAACAGTGCACGCATCAGATCATCATCAGATGAATCGCTGTGCAGTGTCATAAGAGCTTCAATGTCGGGTGAAACTAGACAGTTTAAGAAAGCCAGCCTCTGAGTTGCAAGCACCACATGTCTTGTTTCGTAACCGACCCATGCCATGCCCCAAACCTTTTGTACTTCGAGGGAGACCTTCTACCTCCACACAGCAAAGCATCTGCACCTTGAGCCTTTCGAGCGTCGGATCCCGACTTCGAGGCTCCGACGTACACGACTTCGCTGACTCCCAAGGCGTGGCGCTTGGCCTGGAGGCAGGTGGGTCGCAGACACGCCCTTGGGCTTCAGGGTCTGAAACGGACTGTGAACGGCTCTGCCTGTGTCCATCGGCTCCAGAGAGTCGAGCAATACCTGGCCAGCGTACAACAGCTCCACTTCGGTAAAAGTCTCTGTCCACATACACCGATTGGCTTCTTCCGTGCAGTCAAGATCGCAGGTTCAGCAGCCCTGTTTGAAGTGCGAACGGAATGCAACTCGGTCCGGTAACACGACAACTTCTGCAATCAGGATTCGATGATGAGGTCCGGACGTATCCTCCTCAGGTGTGTAGTTGAGGACGGGAAGGAAAATCGGCACACACCTTGGAATGCTGCGGGTTTGGACCAAATAACCACCACGGCCATTGTTCCAGGATCCTTCGAGAAACATCGCACGCAGGAGGGTTTGAGGGGGGAGGAAAGCCCTATGCCCGACGCAATTTGCGACAAGGCAGGCAATGAGAAAGCCAATCCGGCACCGAGCGAGCGACTCCGAGCTATCAGGAAGAAGCATCATGCCAACGGCAGCTGCTGCAATCCCTTCGAAGACTATGTCCAGCCCCCAAAGCAACTTGTAGCCGTAGCCTGTTGCCATCTTGGCGGTCGCAGCAAAATATCCAAGATCCCGTCTGGCGGTCTGGGAGTCCGGACTTGGCCCTGCCCATTGTCTTGAGGCTGCACTTGGCGAACATGTGCCAGTCCTGGTGGCACAAACGGCAGGCTGCCTGCTTTAGTCACGCCTGCCGTCGAGGCTTCGAGTCGTGCTGCAGTCTCGACCGAACCCTTTTCAACATCGAACTCCGAAGATCTCACGGTGCAGCTGTCAGGTGCGAGTGTTCATGCAGATGTTCGGCACAACAGCAGTGTTGCTCCTCTGCCAAGTACTCGGGATCCCAGCCACCGACAGCGCATGCGAGCGCCTAGCTGTTGAGTGACTTCGTATCCAATTCGCAGACTAGTTGGTTGCTTGAGCAGGGCTCGTGGATGCCGCTCGTGGGTTCTGCGAGCTTACGGGGGAATTTGCTAAAGCCTGCCAACCTGATTTTTCAATTCACCCACAAAGCATGCCTGTGTCTATGAGGCCCCGGCAAAGCTGATCGAGTAGCTGGAGTAAGGGACCTCACACAGGGTGTGATCGCCACGTGCTTCCTGTATATACATGTAGATCATAATGTAACGCTGATATCCGCGGTACTTGCAGCAGCAGCAGCAGGAGCACGAGTAGTACTAGCAGTAGCGGTAGCAGCAGTAGCAGTAGCAGAAGCAGCAGCAGCAGCAGGAGTGGTAGTAGTAGTAGTAGCAGCAGCAGCAGCAGCAGCAGCAGCAGCAGCAGCTGCAGCAGTCGCAGTAGCAGTAGCAATAGCAGGAGGAGTAGCAGTAAGAACAATACTATGTAGCAGTAGCAACAGCAGCGGCAGCACCAGCACAAGCAGCGATTGAAAATAAGCACACTAACAGGAATATGAACGATGCTCATGAAAGGAGCCAACCAAGACAGGCATACTGTTTGTCATGACCATCGTCATGTTACTGATGACAAGGATTAGGAGAACAACTTCCTGTCGTTCCAAGGGCGACAACTTGACAGTCGGATCATCTGACATGGTAGGCAAATGAAGCTGAGCTTGCAACGTGGCAATCCCACGGGTTCGCTAGGCCTCGGGAACCGCAAGGGCTTGGGTTTCGGCACTCACAGCTAGGACATGCCTGGCCAGGATACTGGTCTGAGGGGCAGCACAAGGGCGCGCGGGCTTAATGTTCAAAACTCGTTGTAGAGCAGAGATCTCGAAAGATGAATGTGAAGATGTAGGAGAATCACTGGGGATCGGACAAGACAGCTCGTTCAGAGTGGAAAACAGCGAGGAAATTCTGACGAGCAGCGGCTGCCTGCCACGACGGTAATTGTGCAGTGCTGCGCCGATCCAGCACCGAAGAGTCCAGCAGTGCTGGGCAATGGGTGTGACCCACTGTGGCCAGTGCGAATGTCAAGTCCTTCCCACAACTCGACAAACCCCAAGCCTCAGGAAGTTCTTGAAGTGGCAGATGGGGGCCTGCCACAGATTCAAGTACCTCAGCTTATCAGCGTGATTCTTCTTGCGATGCACTCGCTAGAGGTGGCGCGACTCGTACACAGGTGTGCTGCTGAATGCCGATTGGGGCCTTCATTTTCCATGATTCACAGCGTTAGAGCCCATGGAGGGCGTGGTTGCATCTCTTCTCGCAGTGCTTCTCGTCATTCGGTTTGGTCGAAATCCAACTCGTTCCATGCCCATGTGAGCACGCGATTCCCGATAAGGTCTCAAGTTGATCTCCGACACGTGCGACGCAGGAGCCTTTGGTAAAGCCGCTCGGAGGAGGCGCAACTCTTCCCGCAAGTACCACAAAGCTCCCTTCGAAGATTCAAAGGCCTGATCAAATCCCAGCAGTGCGCCGTGTGTCTCTATCACCCAAACGTTTGCACGGGTTGCCCTATGAGCCTATGAGTCTTCCGACTCATCCCCGTAATGGTTGACTCAACAGAAGTGCTCCTAGCCATCCCCAGATCTGGATTGCGCAGTTTTTGTCCTTGCAAAAGAGCTCATCAGCCAGATGAATACCCGCAATTGACTTGAGAATGAGAAGCATCACTAATGTCGCTAGTGATTGAGACCTCGACAGCACACACTTGCCCCGGCCCTGGCGCAGGGTAAGAGCTAAGTCATTTGCCTTCTGCTGGGCCCTGCTGCCACGAAGTGGTGTGTCAGCGCCTGGCAAGGGACCGAGGGTGGGGTATGCTGAAGTTCATGACTGACAGAGGGCCTCGAAGTACTTGCCATGCATGTCAGAGTCATCATCTATCACCGTGATGACCTCAGTCTAGCTGCCTAGCCCCGCGGCACTCTTCGGCGAAACCTGCAGCTGGGCCCTTCAAGTGAGCGTCGCGCAACCCTGGGATCCTCCGGCATAATCTGGTACACCTCCCACGCGACTGGAGCACACTGGGGCCAGGCACTCGCAGCACCGCAAATAATCTGGCAAACCAGCTCGAGAACTGCCGGTGCACCCTCATGTCCCTCAAGCGCCTCTTCCAGTTCTCTACACAGCTGTTGAAAAGCCCAGCACTCGTTGGAAGACCTCGCAGAGCAGTCGCACAAGCCTCTCAGAGGCTCTTTCAACCAAAATCTCTGGCCAATGCGGACTCCTGTGACAAGGCAGATGCCCATGCACACAGCTCGGCTGGCGAGGTTCTGGCTTTCCAGGCAGATGGTTTGGAAGGTTGGAGGGATGGTACGTCGCATGGATGAAGAAAAACCTCAGATGCACGACAACTTGATCCACCAATGCTGTTTCAGCCGGAACCATCACACTAACGTACTGCGGCAGTCGTCCTGTCGGCTCCTGCTGTAGTGAGCTTCTGCGTGGAAGCGCAGACTGAAAAGTGTACAGGGATAGGAACTGGACCAAGACCGACAAGGCCCAGGCGTATCAGCAAACATCTGTCTCAAAGACTTTTCCTGGCTCTGCCATGTGTTGATGCTGCAGGTTCGGTTCTGCCTCTTGCAAGTCTTTCAATAGGCCAACTGGAACGGTTGAACCTTCATGCTGCAAGTTCAGGTATGACCCAACCTGAGCAAACATCTGCAAACGGGACCTTCTCCTGCGCTTCTTCTTCACGTTCCTGCATGGAGAGGCCAGTGACGCGTGAGCCGGAACAGTGCCACACGTCGGGACGTCAACTGCAGTGTTCGCCTCGAATGCCAAGCAAACGGCCAGCTGCCCTTTGGCCTGGCTGTACCTGGGTGCTTGCTGGATGGTGTGATGAGAATGCCCAAACTCCCAAACTCTTTCCCACATCTTTGACCCTGACCTACTCACCCGCTCTGACTGGCTTCTGTTCTGAGGGCAGGTCTGAGCCAACGAAGTCAACCTGTCAAAAGGCTCGGGCGGAATGCTCTGTAAGTACCAGCCATGCGAACCGAGCTCTAAGGCGGGCACGTATGCTCCAGCACCGTCAAGGGGGTGCAGAAGGTCGGAAGCATCACCACATGCAGCACGTCGCGCCTCACGTGGCTACAAGACTCTCGTGCAACAGGTCGCCATATTCTACGCTGTGAGTTCCTCGGTGATTCCTGGAACACGCGCTTGTAATCGCTTGTGGCTTGGATGCAAGATGCTGCGGCCAAAATTTCTCGGGGATCTTGGATCAGGATGCGGCAGGGCGCTTCAAAGCGTCACGCCATGCCCTGTAGGACTGCTTCAGAGAATCTCCCGGAAGGAGATTGCTTTCAAGCGACTCTCCTGGATGCATGATCCAAGATGCCCAGATCTAGGATGCAGCAGCTGGGATCCAAAATCGCTTCAGCTTGCTTTGCGGTAGCTGCTCCGAAGAATTACTTTCTGGCACCTTGCGTCTTGGGGAGGTGCGCTTTAGAGTCAGAGGGCACTGCCCTTTCCACCACCCTTCCCCGTACTAAGGTACTCGTAATCCCCATAATAATCGTAATCGTAGTAACAGTAGTAATAGTAGCAATAGTAGTAATAGTAGTAATAGTAGTAATAATAGTAATAGTAGTGTAATAGTAGTAATCGTAGTAATGATAGTAATAATAGTGTAATAGTAGTCATAGTAGTAATGATAGTAATAATCCCCAGGATGGGGAACGAGTTCTACCGGCTCTGTCCGGCCCACCGGTCCAACAAATTTTGGCTTTAGCCGAGAAGAGTTTAGTAGTTGGGGCCCCTGCTGTCAATATAGCTCCTAGAATTACTGCAGTCCCACATTACAACATCATGCGGGTTTTTAGAACCGGGTCTGTGTGAAAGCTTTCAATTCCGTGTATACGGAACACTCAGATGCACAGGATGTTCATAAGTTCTTCTTTTTCCTCTCCTGCCCTTGAGCCTTTTTATGCAGCAGCTTAATGGACCAAAAGACATGCTTTAGAATCACAAAGTTTCGCCTGATTGCGAGGATTTTCGATCGCTTCAGTAATGTCACTGGAAAACGCGATCAACACTTAGCTGAAGGATATGTTTGAGCATGAAGCTGTTTAAACCAAAGTTTCACCGCTCATGTTTTGTTGCTTCCTACCTACCTCCTACGCCACCATGAACCCCACTGTTTAGATATCTGTATTCTCCGTGATAGCTTGCAACCTCGAAACGACAGATCTGCATAGGTACATGCCCGTATTTGATTAGTTTTCCCACAACTATTCGCAGTAAGTCATCTGGCACCACAGTCATAGAGGGCTTCAGGAGTAGGCCTCTAAACTCCTGGTCAACATGCCACTATGGACCTCTGCCTTGCCAAGCTGACCCGCGCGGTTTCTTAGATCACGAATGCAGAAACGACTCCTGAATATATCTCAATTTCTTACCTGTTTGTTACAGCAACGCAGCTCGTTTGATGTGGGGGGAGGCCGGGGGAGGCGCAATGTAGCTGTGCGGGTAGAGCAACATCCTGCCTCTCTCGCGTCACAAAGGGCGAGTGCTCGTGTTTCTTCATATGCTATCGATCAAAAGCCACCCGGCACACCAGGGAGCAGGTCATGCACCTTTAACTCTCGATCTGGGCTTCCGGCGCTGTAATGTCCTCGCATGACACATGCCAAAGTTTTTGCGAATGCGAACATTAACATGGTTTATATGGGAAGGTACATAGTTAAGAACTATGTAGCTTCGGGCGAACATTTATGACTTGTGCAAAATCAAATAGATGTCTTTTGTTGGTCGCCTGAGGAGGTGTGGGGCTGCGACCTGCCAAGGCACAAGCCTACAAACCGCTTCGGCACACTTGCCATCTGCAGCTACTAGTAGCCCCGGAACGTGTGGACGCGCTGCATGCCATGACGAGTCCTCCTCATCATCAGCATGGGAAGCAGGCTGCCTGAGAAGTGCAGCAGGCAGACTCTGGGAAAGTGTGACAACCCATGAAGCCGGGGAAGGAGTCAACACACAAAGTCACCATTTCACCGTTGTGATCATCTTGGTTGTCTTTATGTTTTTTGGCCTCAGCTTGTTGGGATCTGTCTGCCGCATGGGAGGATGCACACGTGTTTCCCTCGAGTGCAACTGCTGAGTAACCCGACTTCTCGCATGAACCTGCCAGCCTGAACCCGGAATGACACGAATTGCAGGCTCAATCATCAGCCAGCAACTCACAGTTCTTGGGAGGGACTGCTGGTGAGAAGGCTTCGTGGAAGCGTCCGTGCCTGTGGGCAGCGGCACTTCGAGAAAACACGCAGTTTCGTGTTGAGTGTCGGATTCTGACATCGTCGCCCTCCAGCTTCTGGTAGCCGGCTTTTCTTCTCGACTTGGGGTGAGGGAGGCCCTGCCCACTGTCGCACTGCCCAACTGCGGATGAAACCACATTGTGAAGCAGAGGGTGGAGCTAGGAAGCACGCTTAGGTGGGGCAGGAAAATTGCTAGAGTCACATAGAGTCCAATTTTCCAAGGTCTGCAGCATACTCACGGTACTCGGATCTTTCGTTGGAGACGAAAGTTCCTCAAAGGGGAGTCCGCAGAAACTGCAGAGCAGGACGGAATCACTCGAAACGACGGGATCGATCTCTTCAATAGCAAGACCCCCTGTACCAAAGACAGGCTGGCCTGGCATGGCCAAACATGCAAATATGAACCAATATGTAACTATCTGTCTGTCTTTATACATGTACATTAATACTGCCCTTTTGTATGCTCATATACTTACATTCATCTATTCATGCTTGTTCTTTTTTGCGTGTACAGACTTCTGGGTTATGATAGACTGCACTATGTTACTATGTTCGATCATATTACAGCATTTTATAGTGTACTTTACTATACCATCCTATACTTTACGGTAATATAACAGATTATGCTATGTGGAATTATATTATCCTGTATTCGAATATTTCGGTATATCATACTATATCATATTCTACTCTACTATGCTGGCTATACCTGTTTTGTATTGCAGTACATCACATCAACTTATGCAATATATTATACTGTGTTATATTATTCTATGTTATATCAGACTATATCATCTTGCGTTTTATGATATTCTGGTCTAGTATTGCGTACTACGGAACATTAAACTATGTCATAGCTTTCTAAAGTACATTATTGCTTCAGATGAACAGATAGATCGATAGATAGATAGATAGATCGATGGATAAGTAAGTGGATAGACAAATGGATAGATGGATATATAGAAGCATGTTCATGCACGCTCATGGCACGTCATCTCCTCAGCTCAACCTATCCGGACCTATCCATGTCGCAGAGCACTCAATCTGAAGGAGGCGAGTGGCAGATTTCACCGAAGGAGACCAAGCCATCCAGACCCAATGTGGAAAATGCAATGGTCTGCCGAAGGCCTGTTTTTTCTAGTGCCTAAACTTCGGCGCGTGGGTGTCCACCTTCTCCGGTCTCCACCTCCAGCGACGTGCCGTTTGAGCTGAGCTTCCGGCAGGGCCGCTGCGCGGGCAGCCCAGTCCTCCCTGCTTTCGTGAAAAACCTGCAGAAGCGATGCCACTTTCTCGCTCCAGAGCAGGTAAAATCACAGTATGTGACGGAGACATTGCAGGTAAGAGGGGGGCCCTCATCAGCCCAACCGCGGCGAAAATCAGGAATGTTACGCACCTGCAACTCCAAGGAGGAACGAAGTGTATGCCTCTCTACGTATCTTTGCACATCTTGGTCTTGGCACGGTAATAGAAGCTGTCTCTGGGCTTCGGCATGAAATCTAAGAAGAAAGAAAGCAGCTCTGAATTTCACTCGTACGTACACGCCTGCATGAAGACTCTTGCATTCACCCCTGCTAGGGAGCGTAAGAGTTCGGTGTGCGGGCCCACGAAAAGGTTGGCTGCAGGCGGAGAAGAAAGGTTGCAGCCAGAGCAAGCCCCTTCGCGAAGTCTCATGCTGAGGGGCTCAAGACGAGCGGTTCTCGCTGGTGACGGTGACGAGGCCAAGTGCAAGTGGCCAAGACAACCGTGTAATGCCTAGATTGTGCACAAAACATGGCAGCTGCACAAGTGAAGCATATAGAAGGTGAAGAGCCTGCAATCGCATCCAATGCATGTTGCAGCAAAGCTCATGATCGAACATTTCCCAAATTCCCAAAGTTGGGTACTCGGTGCTGTGCGTCAGGGCTAGCAGCACGCCCCAGCGATATTGGCAAATCGCACAGACCTCAAGAAACACAGCACATGTGCAATGGGCGCCGTGAGCTTGAAATATTTGCCTCCATCTGCAAACTCCTGTAACAGGCGCAGGCATAAGGCCTGCTGTGCGACTCTGCGTCGCAGGATCCCAGGGGTGAAGAAATGGCTCTGATTCCGGTGTGACAACCGTGCAAGTAGTAGAAGACACATACGAGTACGAGTACTGCTGAGGGTTTGACCAGCAAGCTGATTGTGCCGCCATAGATCACCAGCGCCGGCCTTGCCATAAGGGACTCGCGAGGAAACGTCGCAGCTGCACACCACCGGCAAGCTGGACGTGTGTGCTGCCCTGTCTCGTCATATCACACTGCAACTTGCTAGCAGCTATACTCGGCTTAGGGTCCCGCGAGGCTCGCGCCAACATCCGCATTGCGTGGAAGGCAAAACGCCTGCAGGTTTGGGTTTGTGTCCCTCAAGGAAAAGTCCCACTTCGAAGATTCTGCACCGGTCGCTCCACCTCCAGCGACTCGTGATGAGCTCATCTTGGTTGAGCTCCAACACCTTCGCGAGCGGATGCTCACGGCTGCGCATGCCGGAAGATTCAGAGAATGCTGCTGGATGTGGAATCCACACAAACCCCATGCAGCAGAACGTCAGCACTGTCGGAAAGCGAAAAAACAATCCCAAATTTGGAGACAATCCCTCTTCAAGGACCACAAACGAAGTGGGAACAATCATGATAGCCACATCATTCCGCAAACATCTCCGAGGAAGTGGCGGACAGCAGTGTGTCGGGGTTCTGAAGCATGGCACACAAAGCCTCCTCAGCCTGAGTGAAATTGCGACTCGGATATCATAACTTAATATAATATCGTTATAATAAGAACATA